AAAGGCGCCGTTGCTTTGGGTTCGTTCAATCGGCCCACAAGTCCTAGTTGTTTTGCCTTGCACCGCCGTCGGTTCCGGTGCCTGCCATGGTCTGCTTGACGGCAGAAGGGTTCCTAACACTGCAGTTATCCAGGGCACACTTTGTTGACAGTGAAGCTGGTTCTGCAGTTTTAGGTGCTTCTTTTTCCTTAAACCTCTTCTTAGTTTTCTACTCTCGGCTGGACCTGGCTCAAGATGAGGCGGTACGCTATACTCTTTCTCTTGCCAATCTCTATTGCTGTTGAAACCCAGCCGTTCATTCGCTCTTCGGCCTTGAACGCCGCCGACGCTGATTTCTTCCCTCGATCATCTGGACAGTTTGGAAAGGATAAAGACCTAGCTACTGACTTGAACATTCCTGATCTCGTCGGCAACGTCGTATTCCCACGACCTCTCGCCGATCCTTTCATGCATTAAAACACGAATGCAGAAACCGACATAATGCTAGCAAGAGGGATGGAGGAGCTAACTCGATTTCACCCCAAGGGAAAGGCCGTCTCGCTCTCTTCGAAGAAACTCCATCGCCTCACAATCACCTCTTGGGGGAAAGCTATTATGCGTATTACGAATTATGGACTTTTTTCGCCTTCTTCTGAGCACTTCTGAGGTAGAAACTGTAGAAAAAAAGACGACGGAAAGTAGCGAGACGGAGCGACTAAAAGTACGGAATAAAGGCAAAATAAGTGAAGCGCACCATTCATCGTTGTTTTTTCGTGCTTGCAAATTACGTCACGATCCTTCTGGCAACACCGACACCAGCTTTTTGACGACTTGGCGGTAATACGTCTGGCTGATTCAACGCGACTGGTAAACGTTGCTGAGACCTAATACCATGCAGTCTGATATAACAATGATTCACAAGGACGTTCCCCGTCGATCGAGGAGGTTTGCTGATGTTGATCGCTGTCGCCTACACTTTGTTGTTTCCTGGATCATAAAGGAAAAAAAACGTAGAAAAAAGGAACACGGATGTAAACAAAGACTTTACACAAACAAGTCAAGGAATTATTTTATTACTCAATTGTGAGAAACATACATTAGGCAGCGATGTATACGAAGCATTGATTATGCCACATCAACGCTATGAAAAGAACACAGCATCACTCTATCTGTAATACATGCAGAAATGATGTACTGCGCATTAAGGAACACCAACCGAGTTCAGTGCAAGAAAAAAAATAGGCAACGGGGACCCGGATAGCTTTTCAACTCTCGTTAGTGATTTGCGTAATTTCGGAAAAGTTTGCGGGACTACACGCCACTAGTAGTAGCAGGCTATAATCTTACTAGAGAAAAAGCTACAATTACTACGATAGCAGCCAATAAAAGTCTAGTTATGTCCAGGTACAGACCTGGATGCACCAACAGCCTAAAGAGAAAGCAACGAAACCCAGCTGCAAGTGAAATTGCATATATAATGTAATAGGCATCAAGTATACGTCGATCAGCATCCCAGCTAGGCTACCCAGTAAAGTAATATTGATAGTATAAAAACTATGCCTCATTTTTCTATAGACACAGATCAATGACGTCTAGGTGGCGAAGGCCAATATTGGTTAGATTAAGCTCTATCCGGCGCTCGAACACACACGCACGCATTCACGCGTATACAACCAGTAAAATGCACGTACAACAATGCAGTCGGCAATCCCGAAGGGCCCAAGAGATTCTGCAGCGAGGGCTTCCAAACGAGACAAGAGGATCAGAGGGCAAGGGATCTACAGCGTGGCCGGCTTTTTCTGCGTTGCTCTCCAGCTGAGCTTAGCCTGGGGGCATGTTCTCTATTAGCCCCACAAATACGATGAGGTTTGCCACAACAACGGCGAGAGGATTTACTTATCCCATATTGTCTGCCTGGTCACTGAAGGAAGACGCATCGCTAGGCGATAGTAACGAAGCTTCGAAGCAACATCGTTCCCGTATGCCAATAGCCAGTTGGCTTGCCACTGAAAAAACTCTTTATAATCGCCACTATTGTCACAGTGAACAGAAATGTTACTTTATATGTGGGCTTTTTCTTATTATTTTTAATGTTATCATTATTTATCGGAAGCCTGTTTATCCGAATCACAACAAATTAAAGCCGCTCGCTACTAAACTTACATTCCTACGAGAAATCCTGCTCTGGATACGAGCACAAAGAGAAGCCGGATGTTCTGCATAGATATGCAAGTGGATACACATTAAAAGTTAAGGTAAGCTCTCCATAATCCTGGTAAGGATTACGAGCTTAAACCTTGCTAGCGTCCAAATGATACGCTATAATGTTAACGCATAAAGTATCTTTAGGGTAATGTCTTTATTGAACAGAAACATGTTGTCCTGAAGAAAATGAATACGAAAGTACATGTAATAAGGAGAGTTTGTTTGAGGATACAGTAATTCCTGGGACGCGCTGCTTTTTTATGGCAGTTTTTCAGGTCAACATGTCGTGAAGACCGGATAGAACGGTTGCGAATGTACAATCGCGTTAATTTGAATCAGTTCTACGAAGTTACCTAGAAAAGTTCTCTTTTGGATCGAGATATACTCGAATGCAGAGGAAACGGTAATTTTATATATAAGTATATACGAGTTGTAGTGTGAAAACTATAAATCTGTTTACTCAGGTTTTTACTTGTGATCATTTGTTCGATTGAATCTAGGTAGTAAAATATTTTTACAAAGATGCCACACTTTACCCGGAAAAGGGCACAAAACTCGTTGTAACTTGACTTGAGACGGTGCCTACATATAGATATAGCTAGAAATATAGTTAGTAACATAATTCTAGATGCACTCATTTTGAGGAAATTACTTCGGAAGCCCGTCCATATCCTGGCTTACGTTTTGGTACAGTCTTTTTGTTTGTTTCTTGATCTGGCAGCATAAAATGATCATATTTATTTTGCCGCCAGGCACAAGCATAGACGTATGTGAACACGTTTTGCACATGCCCTAGACAAGCAATCAGACAATCCTACAACTATTTTGCTCCTGATCGCGGTCGGATGCTACATGCTTTTACATCAAGTACGAAGAAACATTTATATTACATGTAAAAGGAATTGATAATACACATATAGACTGCATCTCTAGTTGATCGACAATATGAAAAGACGCCTAAAACGTCCAGACGAACCGTTCGAAGCAGATACATTAGCATGTGTAATATAAATATCGTATGGCCAGAATTTATCTTTTCGTCGGTATAGTGATGCATTTTACCTGCGGCGTATAGATATCAGCTGTGCGTGCCTTAATGAGGTCTTGGGTTGATTGCGGTGCTTAATTGTGTTATACACTTACATGGGTCCTAGGTACCAATAAGTATCTAATCGTTAGCTACGCTACGTGATCGATTTAGCAAACGAGCTTTAAGACGCCTCATGCTTTGGTCCTGTACAATACAATATCTGAATAATAATAACCCAAATGGCATCCTCTGTTCCGATCGGGTGCTACTATGCGCTTATAGTATAAACACATAGATACCCTCAAGGATAATAAGCTCGCTTTTTTTTCAACGAGACGTATCGTCGCTACTTAGTTAATTAGAAATATGTGTGGCTAAATAACTCAAGTTGTTCTATAGTCTATCCACAGCGCCGGGTGCTGTGGTACGGTATTATATATTATATTATATAATAATGGTAGTAATATTAGTAACCTTTATTGACACCGTGTGTAACATAACCTAAAGAAATACTGGTTTGAGGCGATAGGTAACGAACAACAGTATTAAGTAACAGATAAATTTTTACGCGTTCATTGTCACTCTCTACGACCTTCACTCATTTTTCACTGTTTCTTCAGAGCTTGTTCAGCTCACTGTCATATGACTACCAACTTCATTTGTTAGTGATGGAAGGGAATGGTAACCGTTTGGCGCGAGGTTTGAAAAATACAGTGAGCACAAAAGGACTTACGAGTGAAGCTCTCGAAAGGCGATGTTAACGACCTTTAGCACGTGGATTTAGCATTGTTATAAGGTGATGTATCGGTCTTTTCTGTCGGAGAGTCTCATTTACATATTGTAAGCAGATTGATGATATAGTTCTCTTTTTTGAAGCGATTTTCAGTACCAAAGGATTCATCCAGTCCTACCAAACGCAAATTATAATCTTCTTAGAATGGAAATCTAGCTTAACTGTAGGTTTAAACATACACTTGGGAGCTATTCATTTCTTTCTCTGTCTCATCTTAACGCAAACATGCCATTTTTCGTAAGCCGTAACAATTCCGTGTGGAGACCCATAATGTGTGGCTCTGTGCTGTTCTATGCTGACAGAGATGTTCGAAGAGGATAAGAACTGTATTTTCTTGCGCTCTCTGCTAAGTTTATGTACCACCCAAACTCCACAATTTTTGAAAATCCCATTGATTTAAAGTAGACGCCAATAATCTGCAGTTCAGTTTCTTGGCCGAACCTCGATTTTTCTTTACGACTTGTATTCGTTTAGGAATAGTTTTCAAGGGATCCCCGATCTCAATGGCCGACTGAATCAGGATGCATCCCTTAGTTCTAAAATGGCATTATTTAACTACGGAAACAGCTTTGAGCGGTGTTTTAAAGTGTGAAGTCTATATGTAGCCGACACAAGTGTTCTGACCTCCTTAGGCAGATTTTTGGCCTCGAAAAAGGCCAAATAGGATGGCCGTCGAGAAGGTTTTTCTTTCCACCAGAAACGTTCGCCTTTGGACGAGCATGAAGAGAGAAGGTAAATAAAATATTTAAAAAAAAATACCCACCTGAAAAACCATCTTGATAGTTTACAGATATTTGCTAGTCAGCTCAAATTATCACTCAGTAGCAATTAGACTAACGACAGAAGCAGTGGCCACCTGCGACAATGATTATTAGTAATAATTTTAACTTTATTACATCGATAACTTTACTACAACAATTTATTTCAATTTTAAAAATTCGTTAACTTGAACGGATCACAACTGTTGACATTGTGTCTTGTTTTAAATTACAGCATCAATCGTATACTGGGCGGTAGTTCGAGGAAAAGTGGCGCTGCCGTGCAATATCGAACCGCCAGCGGCCGGTGACGAAGTCGTTCTTGTATTGTGGTACAAAGATGATAGTCCTGCACCCGTGTTTACGTTAGACGCACGTCGGGGTGATTTGGAACGAGCTCGTCACATAGATAGGACGGCGCAGTCCGATCAGTTAGCAAGTCGAGCATACTTTAATATGGCAAACAAGCCGGCTTTCCTCCAGCTGGATCCCGTTCAAGAGGAAGACGCGGGCGAGTTCCGTTGTAGAGTCGATTTCAAACGAAGCCGCTCGATCAACACTGTCATCAGTCTACGGGTAGTAGGTAAGCTTCGCTGCAAAAGCCATAATAGACGCAGTAGAAATGTATTTATATATCATCTACAAATGTATGTCTCTATATATATATGCATCGCAGCAAAAACGTAAAACCAATACTGCTTTCTCCTATTGTTACAGGCGACCAATCCGTTAAAATGACATAGTAAAGTCTAACAAATGTTTGTTTTTATCTAACCGCTTATAGAATCATTCATATCCTTTCGACATATCTCGTGTCAGTTACGATTGTAAACATTAGCTCAATAAGCATTTGTGTTTCATGGGCATCACTTTATTGCAAATAAATGTTATCGGGATGTCAGTTAAGATAAATGTTTCCGTATAATACTGTTCTTATACATTGTTTCAAATGGCTGGCTCCAGACACGAAATGAAGTGCCTCCACAGTTGATTTTGAATTGGAATTACCACATGTCTTCGATGACAAGCACGTTATCACCACACCATCCCATCTTGCGGAATTAGTTACGTTTTTTCCTGTCGAAAGCTGAATCTTGCTTCCTAAGCGCGTACTAACAAGAACACGGTCCATTGAAGTACAATCTTCGTGTGAATTGTTCTATCAATTTATTTTATCTTCTTCAATATATGAAAACTGAAGTTGGGCAAATAGAACAACAACGGGAATAAGCGTATTCGGTGCCATCCCAAAACAGCGATTGTAGTACTGAATCTAAATATGGAGGTCGATATCGTATTCTGCTAGACTCTTTAGAATTATACCTCAACGTTTACTGAGCTCGTCTGCGAGAAATGTGTTTATACACGCCGAACCGTGTAATATTGCGGAACGGCTGTGCTTCCATCGATAAACAATTATACATTCTATAAAAAGTTTATTATCAAAATGAATGCGTTTTATGCTAAGAACTGCGAGCTCGAACTACTGTTAGATTAGGCCTACAGGGTTATCTCGCATTACCAGCCCGGGTTGCACAGGTACTTGCTTTGTATATACCTCCAATGTTGAGATAAAGGAATCGCATGAAGTTAATCGTTTAGCTTATTAACAAATGGAAAGATTACTTCATCACTCTGCCTATAGAATTGAGGCATGACGTATTATCGCTGTAGCTTGTTATGAAGCCGAAGATGTCTAGAACGTCGTAGTCTGAACATGCCTTATTAAAAGAAGCACACTAAATATTTCGGCGTCTCTTTCCTAACTGACAGCTTTGTGCTCTGTCAGCAGTTTACTCAGCTGCAACAGCTCGTAGGCGGCCTAGCAAGGATGCTGATGATGAAAAAGATTTTTTGCGGTACCTTTTACTTCGTCGATGAAAGCGACTTTATTCACTGTCATTTTGCTGTAGGAACGGAACCGCCGAAACCTTCGATGTGCAATGCCAGGCCCTCAAATGTACTAATGCATCCAACGAGCAACAAATGGCTTCTCTACGGTCATACATACTTTTCCTCGTATACATTTGTTGTTTGTCCTTGTCATTCTTTCCGTCTGCCTGATTCTCAGTGTACAGTCACAGTCTACTCAGATGTGTCTTCCCTAGATCTGCCGTTCACTTTGTTGTCTCTCTTCTTGCGTCGTTTACTTTCTATTACGACCAAGGCCAGCAGATGGTCCCCAGATATTGTGGCTGGTGGTTGCACTATGTAGAATACAACCTTAACGAACCCTGCAATATGTGATCCCATACGACTGCGCTATCGCTAGCGCCGTTACCATATTGAGTAAAAACCTGGATATGCTTTTGTTTTTCTCTCTCGTTTCGACGTATCAACAGTAATATGGTCAGTAGGATCGGCACGTTTTTGTTTTTGTGGCTAGTTTTCGCTGGAGGAAGACTGAGAAACAAGGCCCCGAACGTTCGTTGGTGGCCGTTCGTTCATGCGCTTGTATTCGTGTTTCGCTCCCTCTCCCTTACTGTTTTTTTCTTTTTACGTTCGTAATGTTGGCAACCGTGAACTGAAAGCAACGCCTGGATGCGAGGTAGAGGCAGCCCGCTGTGTTAGCTCTGGCCAGCTTTTTGCGAATAGGACTTCTGTTCTCTTTTCCTCCATTGTGGTTCCGTTTCATAACCACTTCAAAGCGACATTTTTCGCTTTCTTCTCACTTGGACCACCCGAATCCCCCCCTGCTCCTTCCGCTGGCAAGCAAAAGCTGGCCCGCTGCGACGGTGACAGCGATAGCCCGCTCTGAAGTTTCTCCATCGTTAGCTCATATTCACTCATTTCTCTTTCTTGCTTTTATACACACATGCAAACACAGGGTAGTTTTCGACCCTTTTCCGCATCATTACCCAACCATCTCTCACTTTCCCCATTACACAAATAGACGCACACACGTCTATATATATACAGACATACAATTAAATAGACCGAAAAGGAAAAAGAGTGGAGGGATTTTCTTCCTAACCAGCCATTCACTTCCGTGAACGTTCTCCTGCCAATTTCCTTACGCATTTTTCTTACCATCAGTAGGTAACTACGAAAAGGATGGGACTGTGGAAGAAACCCTAGGATGGCAATCATGCTCCATTGTCGACAAAGTGTGCTGTCCCGCCGGCACCAGTGAAATCTTCAGACAGAAGGTGTTCTCCTTCTTAATAACACCAGGGTAGCTAACAGTCCCTGGCCCATCTTTACACTGGAAACTACCGCCTGCAGCAACGTTACCTCGTTTTCGCATGTTACCAAGATCCTTTGTCATTAGGTGGAAGTAGACAGACAATTTCGTACTGTGGGCCTTTGTTTGTTACCACGGTAACGTTGTCGTTTTATTGGACCTACATTCAACGGTTAGGTGATTCTCTTCAGCCGCTCCATTTGAATTCTACTTGGAGACGCCTGCGTTGGCTTATCAGGCAGAAACGGTATCTGGAACATTTAGCATAATTTGTGAGGAGAAGGAACAGAAAAAAGGTAGATACTTCCACGTGTTGCTCTTAGCACCCAAATGAATAGCGTAAAAACGAATCTCTTTAAGTGCGTTGCTATGATGGCTATAATTAAGAAGCATGCCGCCACGCTGGTTGAAATTTCAGCGAGATATTAGTAATTAGGAAAACAAGGAACGAGGAAAAAAATTAAGAATTAGGTAGATAACATATTCTTGTAGGAAAAACGTCAGTTATGTTTAGCAAAACCCACTCCAATTAAACCACTAATGGGGCAAGTCTTTGATACCGTACCTAAAAACAGGCGATTCCACGGCTTTTTCATACAAAATAAACAAATAATAATGACAAATGAAAAAAAAAGCTAAGGAACATATAGTAATATTAAATAAGTCTTTTATATGGGATGTAGAGCCCAAAAGTTTGGCTTTATGCAGTAAGTGCTATTTATTAATTTTCGACGTACAGAAATAACAACTCTTTAATAAAATAATAATAATAAAAACAAGCCCTTGTCGCATAGCATCCGAGTGCGATCGATTCGTTGGGAACTTCGACTTATTCCATTTATGCTATTACGGCATCAGTTAGATAACACTATACGACATAACGTTATCGTACCATCAGTCAAATATCGTGGGTTTCGGGGCATTGAGCGTGATTGTGCAAATATCAATTAGTGTTTGTGTCGTGTTGAATGTATAGACATTCGGATAGCGTTAGGGCTGCCGATCTGAATCTTTTAACAATACTAACAACTCAAAACGCTAGAGTTCATAGATCAGAATGTCTAAGCTTTTCTATATATATATATAAGGCTGTTTGTTGTACCAGGCGTGCGTTGTTCCGGCTATTTCCTACACCAGAAGGCCATTCCTTTCTAAAGCAAAGCAACGCGTCGTTTTCATTGATTAGCTGAAAAGAAAATTAGCTATGATCTTTCTGTGCTGAAGATTAGAGACTTATTTTTTCGCCTCCAAATCGTTATTTACTACCAGTTTTCATTGTACAGCTTCGACAGAAGTGAACATCCATTTAATATCAACTGCCGATTGAATCGTCCGGTAATAAACTCGGACCGTCAGTTTTTTCTATACTTTTTAGGGCCTTTTAGCACTTTGTGGTCGTTTTGAGTTTTTGCATTTTTGGGAGTTTGGCCTTCTATCAGTTGAAGATTTGATCGGGCTAAAATTTTTTGTATGCGCATATTTAATGAACACTTTAATAAGTTCATGCCTGCCAATATCGCCTAACCTACGATTACTAGCAAAGCGCTATTCGCGGATAAATAAAAAAAGGCATATTTTCAAAATAACTAGCGACTGACTTAGGTCTCGAACGAAACATGTAATCGTGGTCAATAATAACTGTACTCAATAAATGTAACAGTCAGGGTACTTCTAGCGTATAGAAAAAATCTCGCTCAAATATCTGTTTTTTTGCCTCAAATACAGCCGCAAAAATAAAACATAGGAGAAATTCGCATTAATGCTATTGCCATAGACCGATATGGGTTTGCCATCATCTGTCAGATACTTTGTACTTTGGCGGGGATTCGTATTTTGGAAGCGAACAACGCTGCACGCTTAGGGCGGAGTACATATATATCGAAGCACAAGCTGTCACGGATATCTCTAGGTGACACAGAGGATATCTTCCACTGTATTCGACCGAAGTACGCAATCGAATGTTATTGATTCCCTGTCCATTCGCAAGGTAAAACATTTTCTGTCTTTGTTCTATTACGTTAAAGTCAGCGTGCGTTTCACAAATCAGTCGGCCTGTTGAATCATGCACAACAATGACTAAGGGAAGCGTAGAAAGGCGTTTACGGGACGCGGACCGCTGGGGGGGGAGGGGAAGGATAGGGACGATACGTTATGTCAGAGAAAAAGAAAAAGCAGTGTCAGCCGTGAATTTTGGCGCCAGCCAAGCGAACGAGTGGGGGGTTTGTAGAGTCTGCTTCCCTTCTCCGTTTTTCTTCTACGAAAGAATACAGTACTTCAGTGCTTATAATAGTTTGAAGCTCACCGAAAGGGTTAGCTTGAATACTTGGTTAGTTATGTACCCCGTATTGCATAATTGACATCTTTGTTTAAACAAAAACAATTATCAAATGAAACACATTAACTGAGTAGGGATTTGAACTAAGCCGGAGTCATTTTAATATCCAAACGATTTAATGAGTTATATTTGCGATAAAACAATAATTTGCAATCGAGTAGAAAACTCTACGCAAGGCTGTTTTCATGGCCGCTGAATAAATTCTTCGTCGACTCGAAGTTGGCTTCGTCGAAAAAAAGTAGGACGCAGTTGCGTAAACAACTTCATTCTGTGAAACTTGTCTCGAGCATCACTGTTCGTACCATGACTGGAAATACTTGTCTTGAGTGGTTCTAACTTCCATAGTCGCATACGCTTCGATAGTTGTTACCATGAAACTCGACACATATCAGCATTCTGCTTTTTTGGAAAACCAGTGTTTTTTGACAAAAGTACATTTCAAAAAACTGAAAATAAAATAATTTCATAGACCGGCTATTAGAAATAAAGATGGACGGCTCTCGTTTAAAATTGAAAGCGCACTATTCTTTATGTACCTCAAGGATAAGAAATACTCCCACCTTATTTTTTTTTTACTTGGAACATGCCAACCATTTGTCAACGTCAGTAGCGCGGTTTACGAGTCCTTTGAGGATTTCGAATAAGACTAGATCTGATAAACTTTATGAACACTTTTACGGTATAGCGAATTTAGCGACCGTGTCAGCCAACCGTAAACGAACGTCTACAAACTATGGCCTTACTGGCCGATAGGCGTAGCATGATCTGCATGATACCGTCTGGTCGACAAGCCGGCACTTTACAATGTAACGAATATAAATAATAAACTTGAAAATGGGTAGGATCTTACTTCCGCTACCTTAATAGGGTAACAACCTGGCGAGAAAGTCAATAAAGTGGTGAAAAAATGTATCATTGTATAACTCTTCAGTGTAATTGGGTCGTTTTCGTAAATTGTTGTTGCTGTAATGTAATGTCTTCTGCTGCTTAAAAAGAAGCTTTCTATTTCGTCCACTTCTATTCACGGTATTGAGTATTCGTTGATGGTCGATAAATTGTTTATCAAGGGAACAGACAAATGGACGAAAGTGGCCTTTGAGCTTTAGTAGCCATCTTTCGACCTCATCATAAGAAATCAAATATCGTCGATTATTATGTAGAGACTGACCGTATGTTTCGATCTTAAAATTGTAGCTTGTCCATTTACTTGCCCCCGTTCCTTTACGTCATTTACATCCGGGTGCTGGCCCTTGCTCTAGTCCTTTTCCTTTAATTATCTAGTTTGTTAATTGTTAGTATCATCACCCATCAAAAGAACGTAGACTGCGCATCTGCGCACTTGGGAAGCTAGCTGAAGCGTTTTCTCTCCTTCGACATCACCAGGAAATGCTAAAGTAAACAACGGCAAAGCGTCTGGGAATATAACGACAATCGATATTGCACTGGGCCACTGGCTCGCATTACCGTTTCACTTACCATTCTTTCCCATTCCTTATACCAACAAACGAATGCCAAGCAGATTAGCTGGCAGAATTAGGATGGTGTCCCGGATCGTTCTCTAGCGTATGCTTTCGAAGTCCCTTAGGCAGGCGGTAAACGTGTGAAGTCCTTATTGGCTCGACATTGCAGTTCCGCCTGGCGAACCGGTGATCCTGGACGGGACCGGGAAACGGCTCCAGGGACCAATTGGGCCCTTCAACGAAGGGGATCCTCTAAAGCTCACCTGCCAGGCTGAATACGGTAAGCTTTATTCATTGTACTATGACATTGTAAAATTATAGCTTATTCTTATTCCTTATAAGTTTGCACTTAGATAAACTAGTCAATTATTAAATGCTGAAACAGGTAGCTGAATAGGTTAAGTTTCCTATTAGGTTGTCAATAACTATTAGCTTTTTTGTTCTAAGTTGTCAAATTTCGTTAGGTTAAATTATTCAGTGTTTTTAGTTTAGCTGTTCAAAAATGTAAAATATTCTAGATTGGAGCAAGACTTATCATAAACGTACCATTAACTTTAGACAAAACTACTTTTTAGGTTATCTCAATCGTACCTAAGTCTTATTCTTCCACACTCTTTTTGATTACATGGATAAAGAAAAGAAGGTCGTCCAGGTAGAGCATACATTTTGACTAGTGAATGATAGCAGTGACTGAAGGACCTATTCTAACGTGTGCTCAGCCACTGTCTATCCTAGGCAAGCCGCGTCCAGCCGTGACGTGGTGGAAGGACTTCCGCATGATCGACGACTCCTACACGTTCGTCCAATCAGAGAACGTTGTTAAGAACGTATTAGAAATCGAAGCGCTCACCCGAAGTGACGCCCTCACCGGTTTCACATGCAAAGCAGCAAATAACAATGTAACGGTAGCAGTCTCAACAAGTGTCATCATCGATCTAAACCGTTAGTGTTATATATATCTCTGGTTTTTTCACTTGATGTTGATCACGAGCATCCCTTGAATTAAATTATAGCTGACGTGTACTCGTACTGCGGTGACTTAATTATCTACTACAATTTCACATACATAGACTTCGTTTGATACAGACAAAATCAAACGTCAGGAGGAACCACAACACAATTATAGTGTTTTTTCCAATCACCTTGCAGTAAAACCTCAGGAGGTCACTATTCAGCCAGCAGAGCGGCCTATTTCGGCCAACAAGCCTTTCGAGCTAACTTGCACCTCAACAGGATCCAGGCCTCCTGCCATGCTGTCCTGGTGGCGGGGCGACCAGCAAGTCAGGTAAAGATGGCGCTATAAAGCGACGATATCCAGCACAGACTTTCGCCGGGCACGAAATGCATCAATGCCCAGCGGCGCTGGCGCCGCTTGCGGAGTTGGATCCCAGCTTCTTTTCCTTGGCGCCAGCCTACCCCCCAACCCCCTCACCCCGGTAGTTCAAATGGATAGTATTCAATGAATTTCTGCGGAAACGCTTGGTCGGTCGCTACTTGGTCGTCCCATTGCAGGCTTAGGTTAAAGTGTTTTGGAGACGGTGGGAAACGGAAAGCCATCGATCAAACGTGGAGTGCCAGCTTGTCGCTGTACTCGTCGGTTTTTGACGTGCTAGCAAGACAGGGTACTAAACTCGCATTCCGTTTATGCCGCCGATTTCGATCTTAGTTTGGCCCCAAAGAATGAAAATAAGAGAACCTGATCCTGTCTGAGTAAGCTGCCAACCTTCTGAAAGTAATCTGGCGATAGCGCAGGTGATGGTTATAGAGAAAAAGTAGTTGCTGATGTCACATGTGCTGTCTGTGCTTTTTGATTTTTCACGCACGCAACTCGCCTCTGTCTCGTCGTTGCCCGCATGGATCCACCCCGCCCTTCACATGACGCCGGCTGAGACAGGGCCGGCGTAGTAGAACGCAGCAGCGGTAGTGCAGATGCGCAGAGTGTACTCACATTCACACCGACCATCGACGACCACGGACGGATAATTGCGTGCCGTGCCGAGAACAAGGTTATTCCTGGAAGTGCCTTAGAGCAGGCCTGGAAACTCGATATACATCGTAAGTTATTATCAAATAGAACTACCTAGCTATCAAGTCTAACTTAGGTAAACAAAGCTGTACGTATTGTGCGATAGTCTATTGCAACGCTAGGGCAATGGGTCTTCGACATTAAGGTCAGACACAAGAGCTTGTGCTCATTGTGATATTTCCAGATCCACCTCGGGTGAGCGTATCTCTCGGGGCTAGTATAGTCGAGGACGAAATCGAGGAAGGCAAAGATGTCGTCCTTGACTGTAAAGTCATCGCGAACCCCTACAGCTCGCAAGTAGGCTGGATATTTCAAGGTAATACATATGCACTAATTGAACTAATATAACAGCGCGTACTTATATACTCTGAACGCAAGTGAACTTCATGTCATGTTAGAATGTTGCAAAAGTCAGCTGATTTTAGGATATTTCAACGTGAAACGTTCTTGTGTTTTGGTATTTTTTAAATTATGTGCGGCAAGGTTTTGAGTCCGTTACAGCACTGTTTATGAACGGCATGGTGGCCTAGACTTGAACTCGGGAGCAAAAGGCAAACAGAATTAGGCATAAGTCTAAAATAAAAACCAATTATAGCATGTCTTTACGCAACATCTTTCTTGCAACCTTATAGGTCGCGAGCTGTTGGCCAACCAATCAGCGGGTATTGTTATATCGAGCCAGTCGCTAGTCATGCAGAGAGTCAGCGTTCGCCAGCAAGGAACATACTCTTGCTACGCAAAGAACAAGGAAGGCAAGGGCGTCTCCAATGAATATGTGCTTAATATTAAATGTGAGTATCCTGGTGAAAATAGCCAGGGCCTACTCTATTGGCGCAATCTACCTTGATAATTGATCATCGTTTTAGGTAGGACTACTATAGTAGGCACTTAAACAGTTGCAAAAAAACGATTACCAGGTATCGACACTACCAGTAGCTGTACATTTAAATTTCCAACTCCAGAAAAAAAGGCCCGAGAGAAGACGAGTGACGGAGGAGAAAAAATCGACCGTATCAGCATAACCGCACCATGACACGGAATCCTTCTTATTTCTCTTTGCCCCTACTTCCTGAAACGGGTTGTCCTGTTCCAGTCCGTTAGACTACTTTTCCTTCAACCTGGCTGTTTTCTCCTCTCCCGGGACTCTTCCAAGCTAGCAGTGTATGTATCAGTAGAACTGATCCCGTTCGAACATCAAGGGGAGTTATTTATGGAATACACCCCCTTAGTGGGTTACCATTGTGTCATATGGAGACTCCAGGCGTTTTGTATCCTATATATCGACAATGCGCCTGAGTGGGTAGGGTCGTGCAATTGGTTGCATATCTAGGATTAATGAGTATAATATATCACGTTGCTGTAATACGTACGTCCAGTGGCTCAGGGCTCATTGGCCCTGCGTAGACGGCCTAAGAGAATAATAACCGAAAGAGAAGGATAAGAAGCAAGAAAGTAAATGGGGGAATTGTGAAGGCAGACAACAAAGGCACGACTTAGCCAAATGGAGTGCTCCAGACTGCGGTTTCTACTCGACTAGAAGGCTTCGACAAAATATGAGCTAGAAAAGCTAATCGGCCACTCACTGTGTGTTTACCTTTATCAACAGGGCATGAATTAGCCCCTCTAATATAAAGGAAAAAACGCCTCTACTTAGTTTCGAAAAATGGGAAAAAAGAATCGGAAGCTGGAATTGACCTGCGAAAAAATAGCATTGGCTGAGATTACATTAGCTGCACAGTGTGCTCGAACGGTGACGCAGCATCGCTGTAGTGGTATAGTTTACTGCTGTTTATAAGCCCCTAACACATCTCTTGTTTATTCGGATTTGTTATTTGTCTTTGTATTTCGCCCGCTGCTTCGCTTTCGTTCTCTCTCCTGCAAAACATGGGAGCACTGCTGCTTTGTTGCCGTGCGTCTTTGCTGCATCGTTCCCGCCTTCGTATCCCCTTCTCCTTTCTCTCTACTTCGTTGCTGTTACTACTATCGCTGCCTGTAGTTGCGCCGATGTGTGCAGCTACACAGCGTTTTACGTACGGCATATCGAGACAGGAGCCCGTGGCCGTCAACTGCTTCGTGGACTCCGATCCTGCAGAGGTCTCCTTTCGTTGGGCGTTCAATAGCAGCGAAGGCGTCGTAAAAGACATCTCCGAAGGTGAGCTAGCTACGTGTAATAGACTAGACAACAACGACAAAACTAGGCAGCACTTCGATCTAGCCATTTCTATTTATTACTTAGTATTATTTCGTCCGTGGAAACGGTAACCGTGGTAGTGGCAAGAGTAGTAATACAAGTCGTGAACCTCTTGTTGACTCGTTCCTTTTCCTCAGTTACGATCCTCAAACGGAGCGCGGTATAAAATCCTCTAAATCTACACGTAGTATACCTTCAGACGTATGTTACAGGAACGACAATCACCCCAAACATCTGAAGACAACCACGCTTTGAGCAGGCACCCAGGCCGCATTTTTTCTAAGAATAGGTTTCGATGAAAGACCAGTGTTGCAGGTGGCGGTGGGGTTGTTCTCTGTAACTCCTTCTACCGTCCTTGAACCTAGTAATTATTTTCCGCAACGTCATCACTGCTTGGTGACATAACCGTTAGCAACCAACTGTTTAAAGCTGGGCACGTCTTGCAGCTACCTACCCACTTAGTAATCAGCAGCGGCGACGAAATCATTATACAGCAACGTTGTTGACGCTTACATTGGCGGGCAGGTTGGTCGTTTGTCTATCTGCCTATCGGTTGGTTGCCGAGCGGAATAAACGCTACTGGCTCTCGTTTATGCGTGTTTCATATTTTCATCTTCCGTAATTTCAGGCTTCAGCAATACGAGCGGAGGTCGGAGCACCTTGTTGTACAAACCACTTCTCGATGACGACTTTGGCTCGTTACTCTGTTGGGCCCAGAATTCGGTCGGAGCTCAACGTGAGCCCTGTGTCTTCTCGCTTATTACTGCCGGTAAGTGTATACGCTTCGGGAGGCTGGTAACCACTAAACCAGCAACTCTGTCCTCATTGTAATCCAGTGTATCTGCGGCCTTGGCCTTTTCTTTTTGTTTTGAAATGCTTGCCATTCTGTATAAATGTGCGTTGCGTCTTCAGTGGCGGCATTCAGGTAGACCTTGTGCATCTGCAGACATCACGTATATCTTTTTGTAGTATATCTTTCACACTGAATCATAGCACGCCTTTCGGTTAACGCTGTTCATCGCTTGTATGTTGCTTTAACATGGTGCGCTCGCCATTGTTGTAGGTGACTTGCGCGCGTCGAAGTGACAATAATGCTGAGCTATACTTACCTTTTACGGATGTTCTTACCTTAGGCCGTTGACACCTAGTTACGCTAGGAGAGTCTGTATTTTTTTGTTGACTGCGACAATTTGTACAACATCTGTCGTTGCTTTGCTGTTCTTCCTTCTTGCATTATGGTCCCTATATGGGAACGGCTGTGGGACAAACGTCCAAATCTCTATATCGGTATTCTCAGAATCCCTATGCACTACAAGTGTTAATTGAGCGGCATATTGTATTCACAGGCTAGTTGTCCATTGTCCAAACTGATGAAGAGATATGCACGGGTTTTAAAAGCTTCTCTAAATACTACGGGTCAGCTATTTGAAGCTGTCTGTCTATTTGTACTTAATTCGTGTTCCTTTATTTTAGGCATTGATATGGTTTAAAAACGTTGGGTCACTCAATTTATTATGACAATGATGCTTGAGCTAGATATCTTTTACTAACATTGCGTCACTAACTTGATACCGCTTTTCTGTACAAGGTCCTCCGGATGCGGTTCACAATTGCAGTCAGATAAATACCACAGAAGATGGCATGACGATAGAGTGCGCGCCGGGTCCCTGGGATGGAGGACTTTCCAACCCGCTGTTCACAGCCGAAGTCTACGAGACCGTGGAGGGGAGCAGTAGTACAAAACTGCCTCCTGTCGTTAACATCTCAACTTTAGGTAAATCCGACAACCGTTAAGCGCTGCAAAATCGCCTGTACATCATCCCGCTTTTCGTCACATTTATTGAGCTAATAAAAATAGAGTGTACTATCTTAATAAACGCATCGATGGATTTTTAGGCGTGCCAGTATTTGTGATTCGCTCCGTTGCAAATGGCCAAAGTTTTCGCGTTGTCATTTACGCCAGTAATGCCAAAGGTTCCAGCCCACCGTTCGTGCTAATGGCGCAGACGCCACGGCCGGCTGAGAGGTATACCGGTACGTATCTTTAAAGTGTATTAGATTTATTAACCAATGAAGTCGAGTCTACCTTTTCGGTTAATAGTACGAAAGTTATTAGCATCACGATTGTCTATAATTATATTTTTATTATATTACTTTAATATTGCAAATTCTTGAAATTTATTATGAAAGTGCACAAAGCAGTATACGTAATTGACCTGAGGTCAATAAGGTAAATTATTTTTGAAGACTCATGGTGGTCGCAGGGTCGCGTCAACCATTCCAATAGACATGTCATGCAGGCCGAGTACCTAGTCTTTAGTATGACCACGGCCAATTTGATGAGCCACTTTAATAAATCCGCTTCAACCTTCAGGCTTCAACGATACCGTGGGAACAGGCTTTTTTTAATCCGTGAGCTAAAATCGTCCAATAGCAACTTGAACATTGTTTTTTTTGATAAAATGGATGGATTAGCTTGTTTATGGTTGTTTTAACAGTTCTAATAGTAACTAACGCTATGCTGAACGCTTGCTACGGCCTGGCGTGACTGGTCATTCACAGCGGACGTCTCTGCGTTGATGGCGTTCCGACCAGTGGTGGGCATTGCCCTGGGGGTCGCCGCGGCGCTGCTGATTGCCACAGGCATACTTGTCACCGTTTATCGATGTCGGCTACCCCAGCAGCACGGAAACGACAAACACAACCTATCACACGGCTCGTTAGCTGATAAAGGTATTTAGTTTTCACATAATTAGCGTTTCACGTAAGAGACCTGTAGCCATATACAGATACGTGTGTACTGCTTAGCAGCTAAGCGAAGCGGTGAAGGTTTATTAAGATTATATGCAACTGCGCCAAAGTAGATTGTCTGTCGTGAAGAACTAAGCCAATCATTAGAAAACGCAGCATGATAGACTAGCACTTAAGCAGAAAAATATCGAGAGCAGAATACATCATGGCGTGCTTTACTATTATTTATAGATTAGCTCAGCACTGCAATTCGTAAACCTGATAGTGGGCGGATTAACTAAAATTAATAGCTTTTTTAGGTAGGCACCGCGACCCACAGAAACCAAACAAGCTATTTATAAAAAAATTGTCCTGCTAGCTATACCTAGCCAAACGCTATACGCTAAATAAAAGAGAGTTTCGACATATTTTGGGACTAATTCTCAGAAACATTCCATACGATCAAGCTCGTCTGTACTAAAATTCATCGACCTTCCAAAACAAAGCCTAACTTGTCGTTGCACTTTACAAAATACGTTTGCTGCTTGACCCGTACATAATTTACTACGGACCTAGGGTACGCGTTACGAGACAATCAGTAGTGCCGGGGTCGTCTTTTGTTTCTGGTAAGCCTAAATGGGAACGTCACTCCTAAATTGTATTGTTCCAGCAAACATAACAAGCACACACTCTTCTCGACCAATAGGCCAGGAAGTTTAATGTAACAGCTTAGACTTAAATAGTAAGAGATTAATTAATGATTTCGTCACATAATATACATTTTGCCTTTAGCTCTTACGAACGACCGAAGAGAACCTACACAAGCTAACAGTGAATCGTAACGGAACGGTAAATTAAGTATACAACAGTAGGTTGTCATAGTGAGAGGTTAGCTAAGTAGCCAAAGTCTTATGTTAATGGACGCTAGGTAAATGTATTGCATTCTTTAGATTCTACAGGTGGGTACGGTGAGACAGATATCCCGTTGGGGTCCCCTGAAAAGCCGTTGACCCTAGTCAACGGTGGGCCAGCGAGTTCGAGAATGGAGGACGAGCTTGAAAAAGCCAGTCCAGATGTCATTCCTATGAGCGGGCCTTTGGCGCCGGGAGCGAGTCTGGCCGTGACCCTGGGGGCAGCACGTTCAAGCCAAAGCCAGTCCCGCCAAGGAGGTAACAATTGCTGTACGTAGACGCCGCTTTATGCTTTCTGCTTACTTAGGCCTATTCGCTACTCGCAGCAATACTGCAACGGACACTCCGGCCCTTAATCTTGTTCACTCATCATCTTTCTGTCGAGGCCCTTTTTCTTACCTGCATACTGGCGAACGCACGTCTAGTCTGTTCCTTTCTACGCCCTCCATAACGCCTGAACACTCGGCGACATTCAAGCAACACCGCGCGCACAAATACTTCCTGTAGTAGTTGTAGGATACGGTAGCGAAAACAGCATATTCTCGTAGAGCGTTAGCTGTTAGTGAGCACGCACGGATGCGACGGAGCTGTTGCGCTCCGCTTGGCTTCTTGCTGTACATAGCTGGAACGATTCGAAATAACATCAACTTAAGCTGGAGCAACTTCTTCACGCATTGCTATTATTTACAAGGGAAGCGGCGAGCAACTAGTCAGAGCTGCTTTCTCCTGTCAATGCTGATGCCCTGGAGCCAGGTTAGTGGCCGTTGAATGTGGAAGGCTTCCAGGACCTACGAGCGGTGAGGCGGCTCGCTCGCCTCTTGCTTCCAGCTCTCGTTCCGCTTCGTAAAATATGATGATGTCGTTCATGTTCCTAATGTAAAGACACACCCCATACATGTACATGTTTAGTTTCTGCGCTGCACTCGACCGTAACCTGTAGCCTTGGTAAGCCCCCTCGTCGATCCCAAACCAGATAGTATTATCGAACGGAAGTCAAGCACCGTCCCTAGGTCACTTGATGAGAAAAAGCAGGAGCAAGTGAAAGATTGCAATGCAGTGCGCAGTGTATACGTGGGTTGCTTTTGGAGTATTTACATTAGTTTAGGGCGATAAAGAAGAGGCAGAAAAGAGAAAAAGGAGACTTTTTATCTTGAACTGCACAGATATTAGGGAAGACAAAAGCTATCTAGCTTTATCTTTTCTATGTACTAATAATGCAGCTACTGCCACTGCTAAGGCGTACCATGTGTTTACCTTTTGGCAGCAACCGTTTTTAAAGACGGCTCTAGAAGGCAAGTGAATAGTCTAGCAGTAAGCGTCGCCTTTAGGATCCGAGTAAGGTCGCAGCAGCAGTTGACGTTGGTCATTTCAGACTTTGTAGACCTGGAGAGCAGCTCAGCAGTCCCCGTTGATTCTCCATATCAGCATCTCAATGTGATCGGGGGACTTTCGGATGGAATTAAGGTTCCTGACCCCATCTGCCGGTCCACGCCGCCTCTTGGACCAGCCAGGCCATCTTCCGTCAAGGTGAGAGCTATATAATCGTTAACGAAGGAAACATAACTGTGTCAGTCAGTTTCAGAGGTTTACAGGTGCCTGCTGATTTAAGGAAACAATAAATGTAAGAATGTCATTGCTGCGAACGGCCTGAAAGTTCGAAAATAACTCAGAGAAGGAACAGCAGATTTATTATAACGGATTCATGTTAGATACATTGAAACAGGCTCAGCCCACTTTGATGTATTTTTAAAATAATGCCTTAAAATAGACCTGAAATAGTGTAGGATAATAATATTATATATCTTTTTTGAAGTCGTACACCTCTTATTGTGCTAAAAATGAAAATAGGAAAGCTACCCTTTGACAACAACGTAATTATGCATCAAGCATAACGACGGTATTACTGCTAATCATACATAACCTTTAATTTTTTCGTTTTCACTTTATAATTTTAGTCGTTAGAAAGAGTAGTGAGCGGTGCGTCGGTAATGCCATTAGCTTTGGCCGCTGCCGGTGAACCTGGCTTTTCGGAGCTCGTCCTTGCGACGAATGTGATGTTACCATCGTGCGGTGATATGTCAACGTTAATAAGGCAAAGGCCGGGCGCCACCGGGTCCGGTGGCACACTCCGAAGGGCCAACAACGGCATCGGGGGAGTACCGACCGAATACGCGCGTATCGACTTTCATCGCTCACTGCGGCCTGCACCAGGAGGTCACTTATTAGCTGCCGAAGATCATTCAGCCTACCCGATTGTTGGCGACATCGAACCTAGTCTAGCGCTTGAAACAGCTGTAACGACAGCCAGTTCGGGTATAGAATCGACGGTGTGATAAAAACTAGTCAACCTGCAAAGGATTTCACGTTTCGTCGATCACAACAACTCCCTGCCAATTACATTATGCGAGTATGGAGCGAAAGGATTAGGACGACCTCTTATCGCTACTGCACGCCGCCGTGCGACGACTAGCGACCGACTGCGCTGAAACCACACCGACCAACTGATTGACCGGTTAGGTCATAACGTGAACTTCAGTCAGTCCAGCTATTTCCTCAGGAGCTTTGCTTGCTACAGAGACACCCGTGGTACGAAAAGCTTCTTTCGTGTTAGAGAAAGAAAGCCGGCAGCCATCGTCGTAATAAATAAATAAAAGTCCCGTTAGTCGCCATGATATAGAAACAGGACAAAGTGGTGTTCTCACAGCATACAGGAAAAACCGCGAGTGAGAGTTGGATGAGATCTAGAACTGGCAATCGTCGGGTAACCCAGAACGCAATGTATATATTTCAATTTCATTGTGTACATGTTTAATAATATTGTCTGTTAAAAGCGTTAAAACATCTCTGAAGTCGAGACGAACGACTTTTTCCACTCCCTGTATGATATCATCTGTAAATAAGAACATAGTTTCTGTCTGAACCTCTGATGGGGGAACCGGAAGCTGTGCCGGCCGGACGGGAAATATAGAAACGCCCGGGGAAAAATGGGATAGTAGAGCAAACCACTTTATTAACTAATTTAACAAGGGAAGATAATAAGGTTTTGGGCATGATAGAAGAATGATGTGTGAATGGAAGGTAAGCGACATTCATCGAATGAATAAAACATTTATATAATATAAAAATACATTGAGTGTCTTAACATATATACAAGTAAGTAGATGGCTCAAAATGCTAACTTTACGTAACATATCTTAGGTTAACTCTAATGAACTTAAACTGGTATTCCTTGCCTTAATAGGTCCTTCTTCGGGTTGAATCTTAACCCAATGGATGAAAGTGTCGTGATTTAGAGATTCCAAAACTTTAATAGGCCATATGCATACTAAGTACAACCTTCTGCAATAAGAATCGAATGAACAGTTAATTAAACGTTTTACAATTAAATATATAATTGTGTTGTAATAATAGGTTTATTTCGAGGACATTTTTTGTTTTATGTAAATGATAATACCCTTTTCGAGTATTGTGAGATTTTTAAAGTTTTCAACGATTGCCTGTTATGGGGTCCAAACGCATGATGTAGTCGACGCTGAAACAACCAGGTTTGTTAGAGAAATTTAAAGCCCAGAGCTGGCCAACTCTCTTCATTATCTCAGTCAGATCAATAGATATAACGTACCAGGGGACTAGATTCGCAGCTTAACTTTGCGCTTCTATATAAGCTAACACTAAATTAAAATTACTTCAGGTTACCCGAATACATACTAGTTAGAGATTTAACTTAGCACTTTTCAAATAACTTGGCATGAGAAAAGTACACGCATAAATATATTTGTTTAGATAGTTCGGCTACTGGGGCATGGCCGATAGCATATTTCTAGCATAGATGCGAAACATTGCTTGTAAATTGATAGAGAGTTCTCTTTCTTAGGTATAGTTTCCATTATAAAACCAAATGCAATTTTCGCCCTCCGACGAAAGATGAGCACTAGATAATTTCAAGCAAAATGCTTTACCTAATCCAACACTACATAGATTTACATGATATACAAACTTCCTGCCATGTTCAAGGCTGAAGCGAAAACATTCTGCCAATCAGAGACACGACAGACCCCAGTATGAAGACAGATGACCGTTTGCAGCACTAACGGCTCGATTCAGCTTGCTTCAAACTATACGTTTCCGACAGATACGTTGACGGAATAGCGAAGGTCTCAGTCTCAAGGTCAGCATCTTGGGGACTGATAAGATTTTACAGCTGATAGCAAAAGTAAGCATTTTAAATGTAGGAAAACTGAATAATTGAAAGAAATGTGTTTTTTTTTTTTGACATTACAGTGGTCGCTAACCTTATTGTCTCTAACGTTCTGAACAAAAAGAAACATTGAAAACGCGTACGATACATAAATTATTTAGATTACATTTTAAATCATAGATTTTAAATTAATAGTTAACAAATACACTTGTACACTGAAGTAACTGAGAGCGTAAATTGATTGGGGGGAATCATAGAGAAAAAGTTATTTACTTGGCACATCTGTTCTCACCATTTAAATGATTGGAGCGCTGAAAATTTCGCTGCGTATAAGATCGCTCACGAAGACTTGGCTTTTCAATTGAGCTATAAGGGCGTCAGGGAACAATCTGAGTGTGCTTTAGTAGTTCTTATGATAGCATGTAAAACTATCCGGCTCTCAAACAGATCTGCTGTTAACTCAGCCCTACTGCGCGGTGTCGACGTAAACCAGTTTATCTGATACGAACGTGTGAGCATACGGTTTTGATTTAAGTATGAATTCACATATTGACAGCAGGCCCGAAAATTTCGGGCCCGGCAAGGTTGACGACAGCAGGCAATGCCTATTAACGTATCGCTATCGAACGAAACAAAGCATGAACACAAGCGTCGATGATGACCAACTCATCCCTCAAACATATATTCCAAAGTCGTCTATTTGTGTCACCTAAAAAAAATCACTAGATATCCTAAATATTGACTAATACTGCATAAAGAAACGAACTTTTCAAAAGTCTCGTTAATGTGTAAGCACGGCAATTTCTAATGCTAACAACGCGCAACTTCGTTGCAGTGCTTGGAGTAGATAGAGGGAAATGAAGCCACAACTGAGGGGTGGCTTCAGTTCGACATTGTTAATATTTAAGTCCGTGCGATTTCGAATGCTGCTGTGTTTTGAAAAGAATGATGGATGGCGTGGCGTAGACTACAATCAGTCCCTTTAATGAGCTATTAATAGTGAGGTTATGCAAATTACAGGTATCTGGTTCCTGAAGAGCTCCTAGGGCGGAAAGTGGAAGTACACCTACAGATATTATTATACAGTTTAAGAGTTATTCAAGTTTTTCAGTTGCCTAAGTAATCCTAATAAGAAGTAATAACGCATTGATTGTTCTCTTGGATTGAACGATTGAAAATTTCTAGTTCGGTTCTCGTATGAGTAAAATCGCTAGAGCGAACCTGGAAACTTGTCCGCAGGTCGAAATACTTTACTTTAATTATGTCGGTGTGCAGACCAAGCAGGATTGATTTGTCGGTAGTTATTTTTCATGGACTGTACTTAAAGTTATGATAACTAATAATAAGTAGAGCTGTTCCAGTATAATTCGTAGCTAAACTAATCGCAGGATCAATTGAGTCAACTTCGCGCGGACCAGAAGTCTTCATTGAAGTAACAGTCGGAAATGGAAATCAACAACAATAAAGATTTATGTATTTCCTTTCTGTCAAGCCCGGGTGAAATGCTTTACGCGTGTGACAAAATGGACCAAGAGCTAATAGCGTTTTGAGAGTAGTTTATTAACGCATTAACTTAAATAACTTACGGATACTCGAGGTCGAGGGGTTACCTTGCAATGAGTAGAAATGCAGTTACGAAAGTTTCTATAATCAGCAGAGAAAATAAAATTTCCCCAATTCATAGATACGCACACACATTAAAAGGAATCCGAACCTACTTATAAGTGTCCAATCTACGTTAACGTATTGTAAAAACTCTGAATGGCTATTACTATCAAATTGCGCCATAATAAGATAAGCCATACGTGCGAGGTTTAAAGTAAAATGCTTTTAATAACAAGACTTATGGTAAATTTCCGCTCGGTCCAAATATGAGACGAAGAAGATTCGTTGAATTTTGTCTGTTTAGTATTTTGCGAAAAGTTACTTCGGTTTCCCATTTACGTCACTTAATTGAGAAACGCGTTTGCAACTTGATGGTTGATTCGAAGCTTCATTGAATAGAACAAGATGGTGCGACACTAACGTCATTAAACGTTTCGAGCTTTGTCTACGGTGCCGCCGCCGATACAGACGGCTAGTTCCCATTAGGGAACAAAATATATGCACGCCCGATTTCCAATTTAGAGCGCCTCTGTGCCTCTCCGCTTAGTAAGCAAGCGTGCTCACCGCCACGCACTATCGCGGAACCGCATAACTTACTGGTTATTTAAAGGAACGCCACACAATACAAGTATGTTATTTTGGCATTGGTTTAAGATTCTATTCATCACTGAAATAGGTGAAAGACCGCAGTGTACGTTATCTAAGACACGCTAAAGCTTCCTGGGACTGAACCCAAATTATAATCTCGCGACGAGATGCATTAAAGCTCGCTACCAATATGATGCGTACGTCCATTTAGCTTCGTCACAGTTTTAGATCGTTGAAAAGCAAGCTTTTTCCAAGATCGTTGAAACCAAACACTAGCGCCCTGCTAGGCGAATCCGCACGTACGATATTCAACTTTGTAATGGGCCGTGTAATGGCTATCCGGATACATAGACTTAACAATGAGGTTGACATCGGTTTCTTCTGCACACGCTCAGCAGGTGAAGTTTTTTTTAAAAGTCGTTACTCAATTGGCTATCTAACTTTTATCAGTCATATAACTGGAGGAAATAATTAGCTGTTAACTGTAGGGATATTTACAAGAAAAAAAAGGACGCTTCCCACAGAAACCTACAGGTCTCGACTTTATAAAATGATACTGTAAGTGGCGTTCACTCGCTTTATTACGCTTTGAAGAGCATACAATAAACGGTTTTCAAAAGGAAAAATATTTACGTTTCTGTATTAAGGTGTTACCAAAACAAGTAACTAATACTCGGCTTACATATGTAAGGGAAACACGTGTTTTTACAACCCGCCGTCGAAAAATAAACTGCTGTATATACCGCACGGATATGTCGTGTTCTTCGCGATTGAGGGCAATAACCATTATGAGCGGTCCAGGAGAGTAACGGGGCAACGAGTGACGCGGCGGCAAAAAGGTGCGTCTTTAGCCATTCGACCATACAATGTGTAATGTATAATCGGCTCGACGCAACGCAGCTTAATCGCTCGCTAGTTTAGCCGAACCCAGTTAGCGATCTCTTAACCCTTCATTCAGTGTAACCCGCAAAATCATAGAAGACGCTCCATTCTGCCGTCCCGGCAACAGCAGAACAACGGTCGCAGAGGGTAGCCATGATGGTGAAGAAGTGCAATATCGCTGCCATTCATCCGCCTTAACGTCGTTTAGTTATGCGGCAATCGCATGGTCGGTATATACCGTAGCAGCAGAAGCGGTAGGCCCGCAACGGTGAAAGGCTGAAGTTTCAAGGACTCCATGGCTCCCCAGGGGGAGCTTCAGTCAGGGTGAGTCAGGTGAGGCGAACCATCGCATACCACATTTTACATAGGCGCTGCCACTTGGCTGCTCGGTGACACAAGCGGCGGAAGCCGTCAGGCCAGGCGTGAGGCCTTCGTTCATTCATGTGCGGTTCCTGCGGTCCTGACCCCGTTGGCAACGGGATGAAGGTTTCAACCACAGCAATAGCCAATGTATTCAAGGGTGCAACGACGGCGAGAATGGCGACAATAAAAATAAATAAAAAAGGAATTTCCCTTCCCATGAACGCCGCCGCTGAGTACGTTGGCTGATATTGCTGCGATCGTAAAGCGTTGCATATGGTGTTGTATTATACGAATAAATGATATAGTGTATTCTGGATACGGTAGCCTAGTAGTAAACCGGAAGGTCTACTACATGTTACATTTGTCTCGTTGCCTGCCACGATATGCGATATAAATTTAAATGGACGACCTTCCAAACTCACAACGAGCAAACAAAAATGAGATATCCTATCAGATCTTATTAGG